TTGAGACGGTTGCTTCCGCGTATGACTTGCTGCGTCTTTGCGCTATGACTTCCAGATTTCGCCTGGGGGTGAATCTGCAAGTGGGACTGTTAGCGGGATGGGCCCCTCCACAGTTCGCACACTTTCGCCCCTCTTGTCCTGTGAGGGGGCATAAATATGTCATGTGGTCGGAACCACATTTTAAACATTTGGGAGGTGCTGTGCAGTAAGACTGCGCATGATCATACCTTTGGCAGCGGTGACACTGCCCAACTAGCAAAGTAGTGGTATAAGCTTTTGGTAAAAGAACCGTTCCGCCATAAAAGCTCTCTACTGTTGTTGCCTAAACACCAAAATGCTGGCTTAATATTGTGTGTAATGCAAATTTGCTTTCTGCAACATATTTGCTCTAAAATGAGGTGTTTAAAATATTCTTATAGCATAGTTATACAACACCTTATAGGGCAAATTTTTAAGTGTTGCATAAACGTTTATACAACTATTTTATACAGCATATTTGCAAGTTAGTCAAAATGGTTGTGTTGTGGCACCCATGCTAACGTTTATAAAACAAACCCGAGCCTTGGTGCTTTGCTGTGCAATTCACTACATTAGCCAACAAATTGCTCCCAACGGAAGCACTTATACAACTGTTACATATGCTAAATATGTTGGTAAACAACTTCACCATAACCTAACTTTCTGCTGTCATATTTTTGTTAAAATGCCATAACCAATGTTTTAAGACAAACAAAGCATGCATATCGGTTCAAAAGCTTTTATCAACTGTTCAAACAGAAGATATAAATCTGGTACAAATTCTGGGTAAATCATTCGACTCTGTCGGTGTTTCATTTCAGACACTTGTCAAATTGTTGTATAACACCTGCAGGCAACACCAAAATATTCTAATAACCTAAAGACAACATGGACGATGCCATGATTGTACACAAACACCCGCCATATTGGGCAAACATTTATTCCTCTATTTAATATTAAATAATTATGTTTCAGTTCGAAATTACAGATATAAAGTGATAAACATTAGTGTAATTGTGTCTAAATATAGGATTTGTGGAAGATTTAACGCAGATAAGTTCAGCTTTCCATCTTAAAAATGTAGACATAAATTTGATCATTGTCAAAATATGAATCAAATACGAAGCCCGTAGAAATTGGGTAACTAATTTGCACGATAATCACAATAAAATTTGCTGCGCAAGTAATTCAATAGCCCTATATCAAAGTGTAGAAGTTCATCATATACCTGCGTATGAAATTCACAATGGCCGATATGTAAGTAAGCAAGATGACTGTAATGTGTTAGTTATATATTCTTCACTTCGTCTATACAATACATAGGATATAGTTTGGTTGCAATAAAGTAGAATCACGTAAGAGAATAGTTGTATAGTTGACAAAAACTGAATCTTGCACTGACGCAAATGTCCTATAGCGGCTGCAAGGGGCTTACACTTTTGCTTTATAACTGCTACCTGCAGCCATTATACAACCTCTTATAATGAACATCATCGTTAGAAAATCCCCGTTCTCTAAGAATCCATTCGTTTCAAAACAGATTTTCTAGAAACGTCTGATGCGGCATTCAATGGCCAACTGTTTATGCAACTCAAATATCTTTCTTCAACGAAAACGTTTTTAAAAAGATTTATTTTTGAGAAAAACCAAATACAACGATGTTAATTGAATGAGTTCTGAATCGAGACTCACTGCAAAGTGCATTAGACTGAAGTGTCCTATTAGGTGTGCCCATTCGGCTTGTATAGCTGTTCTAAGAGGGTTTTGCTAATGTTCTTACAGTATACCATGCTGTTTAAGGAATACTGCATAATCCTTCTTGCAGCTCTAATAGGAGTGATAATTGTTAGTTGGGTGCCCAATAGGTCTAGAGATCTTTTGAACTTCAACTCTGATTGCTAGAGCCAGCAGCTCATGTTCATTGAACAGCTGCTGGGACTTTTCAATCTTGGGCAGTATCACGACCACCAAAGGCATGGGTGCGCCGCCACTGCGTTTGAGTCGTATAATGCGGAGAGGAGTATAGCCCCTCTGTTCTAATTCCCCTTCGATCTCCTGTTCCGAAAACATTGCGGGTATGTCTCTGACTACCGCGTGAATATTTCGTTCTGAAGGAAGGGGGAACGTATGATGGGGCACGTCCTCCTCCTTGAACAGGCGAACGATTCTTCGGTAGTCATCCTCAGTTTTCGGCAAAATCCTGATTCCCGCATCAACGGCAACTGCGCGTTCTATCTTAATGCCTAAGCTTATAAAGGTGTAGTTTAGATGTCGCCACTTGGTCGCATCACGCAAAACAATGGGCGTGATTCGCCCCTGGCGGGGTGCTGTGCTGGTCAACTCGCCAGCAACGTAAGATTGTTGAGATGCACAGTCAGTCGATGCAGTGGCCAAAGATTGAGAAGATGTGGTCGCTGCATCGACCGTCATAGGACAAGTGGCAGAAGAAGTTGATACGCTTAATGAAGCAGAAGGTTTTGAGGGGACTGTCAATTTGAATTTTGATTTTGCTTTTGGAAGAGGTGGGAAGTCATCCGTCTTGTCGGTTTTGTTCGTTTTGTCGATGCGTCTTTTCCTAGACTTGGCATGGATGAATCCGTCATTCTGTATTTCATCGTCGGTCGATGTCACGTCAGTTAAATTTTCAAGAGGTCTTTATAAATTGACAGCCTTGTCAGATTTAGAATTAAAAATTGCATTATTGATTAACTGTGTTACCTGGGTGGTCAGGCAGTCTATTTTACTGTTTTGATCCCTAACTGTCTCAGTCAGCTCCTTTATTTGCTGGGCCTGGCTTTCGATGTTCGGGGTCTGGCGCTGGATGGTTGTCCTTTTCGTCTGCTACAGCTGGTGTCATCAATTCCTTTGATTTCATGGTCTCAGTCAGCTCCTTTATTTGCTGGGCCTGGCTTTCGATGATCAGGGTCTGGCGCTGGATGGTTCCGTCTTTTTCGTCTGCTACAGCTGGTGTCATCAATTCCTTTGATTTCTTGGTAATTTCTGTTCTCTCCTTCTGGCTGGGTCCATTCATCATCGGGGACGCTGGAGGATCATTACTTTGGCCTCCAGAGTCTATCTCCATGTTCTTAAATCGGGTTTTCTATTGAAAAACTTGAAAACTTTCACGAGCAAAAGTATGACGTATTGTCAATTATCTCTTATACAGGGCGAATTTTACCTGGCTTGACTTGCTACATTCTTAGTTACAGTTTGTAGCCAATAAAAGTCTATTCTATTCTGTTGAACTGCGTTAATGTTGTTCTGCCTCACATTTCATGTTATATATCTTGAAACGTAATACTTCAGAAAATTAGAATATTAGGTACGTATTAATTAAATCATGCTTGACCACTACATCCATTATCAGGTAGTGCCATAGACTCTAGATAATATTTTCATTTAATTTGATTAATACTTGTATTTAATAGGTTTTTGTATAGGTCAATGTACGAGTATGCTGATGGGGTCTAAAAAAGTGTGCCAAAAGTTAGTAGATCCCTGAAAATGCTTATTGTAATACAACACACTTTCCAATGAGGCAATTGCTAAATCGAAAACAATTTGTGGAAAAAACCACCTCACAGTGTTATAAATATGTGAAACCCTCTGTGTAGCACATGATTCAATAAGTCCCGGGACTCACACACAAATGGCGATAGTAACGACAAGTCAACTTCTTTTTTCGAAAGAGCTAACCTTCATGTAACACCTGTGAAATTTCGCGAAAATCGCACCCTAAATAGCAAAGATACTGCGGTGAAAGTGAGGTTACATTTGCATTTGTTTCCAAAGTGGACAAAAACGAATTTCGTGTGTTGATAAAACATTGTTATTTAATCGGAACGAATAGCGTGCAAACTCAGAAATGGCTTGAAAGATGTTATCTGAACTCTGCTCCATAGAAAACAACGATTTGCCGGTGGCTGATTTTAAACGCGGTCGTACTGATACAAAGGATGCGAAACGCTTGGGTTGGCCAAATGAAGCAGTAACATCCGAAAATGTTAAGGAGGTGTTAAAAATCGAAAGTTCTTGAGATTGCTGAGATAGTATACATATCAATCGGAAGTTCATTTACCATCTTACATTAACAGTTGAGTATGAAAAAAGTCTTTTCCAAATGGGTGCCGCGTTTTCTCACAATGGAACAAAATCAACAACGAGTTGACAACTCGGAGAGATGTTTATCACTGTTCACCCGCAATAAACAGGTTTTCTTTCATCGGTGTGTGACAGTAGACAAGAAATAGATCCACCGTTTTACTCCGGAACCAAATCGGTAGTCAGCTGAGTGGCGTGCAGCTGGTGAAAGCCGTCCAAAAACGCAGCAGTCAGCTAGCAAAGTTATGGCGTCATTTTTTTGGGTCGCACAGGGTATAATTTACATAGATTACCTTGAAAAAGGAAAAAGCGATTATTACATTGAGTTACTGATACGTTTAAAGGACGAAATCGCAGAAAACGACCGCACATGAAGAAGCAAAAAGTCATCTTTCATCAGGACAACGCACCGTGTCACAAGTCAATAAAAACAATGGCCAAATTGAACGAGATCGGCATCAGTCTGCCTCCCTATTCACCGTACTCTGGCCCCCCCAGCGACTACTGGCTTTTTGCTGATCTCAAAAAGATGCTCCAGGGAAGAAGATTTGGCTCTAACGAGGAACTTATCGCTGCAACAGAAGCTTATTTTGGCACCAAGGACAAATCTTTCTTCAAGCATGGTATCGAGATAGAAAAACATTGGAATGATTACATTGCACTTGATGGCGATTACATTGATGAATAAAAATGAATTTTGCGAGACAAATGCTGTTTTCATGGTTAGTCCCGGGACTTATTGAACCATGTGTTATATTAATCAATGACAGTACATTTGAAGAATTTCGTAGCGTAAAGATTTTCGTGCTTTGAATTCAAAATATCTCAAATAATACTGAAGTGAAAAACATGTGAACAATTAAGTTTTTATATTTGTACAGGTACGCTGTCCAGTATAAACCAGTATGTCACCAAAGTCGGAAAGGAAAGAATCGGAAACAGATGTAGATGGTAAGAAGCTTTTATCAAATTAGTACTTATACAGGATGATTCACAAGTCGTGACCAAAAATGAAATATCATACACAGGACCGCATTTTAAGTGGGGTCTTTTATGTAACATTTTTTCCGCAAGGGCTTCATTGAAAAGATTAAGTTTGAAAAGAAAAAACAATTTTTCTTTAATATCTTCAAAACCGTCAACTGAAATGAACTAAAATTTGGTATGTGCATTAACCTGAGTATTGTCCACACTCAAAAGTCAGTGGCACTATTTTTCCAAATAAAAATAGTACGCCACTGTTTTTTTTTTCGAAACGCGCTATTTTTCGACTTCTACCTTCAATTTGATACAAATGATTACTCTTGTTTTCGTAAAAATAAAAAAAAACAAATTAGATAATCAAAGCTTCATTTCAATAAATGTTTAAAAACACCACCATTCTGACTGATACAAGTGCGGCATTTTTTCGATAAATAAAAACGTATTTCCACAAAAAATTTTGTTGCTTCCAGTTGACGGTTTTCAACATATTAAAAAATCGTTTATTTTTAAATGTTAACACCCTGTATCTTTTTAATGAAACGCTGTGTATGATGTTTCATTTTTGGTCACGACTCTCCACAACCCATTTACTAAAAAAATATCTCTTGAAATTCTCGATCTTCGAACTATTATTTTAATTAGGTTATTTTTGCAAAGGATCTACTTTTACTTTCAGTAACACCCGCAGAAAGATATGTGAACCTGCTTTTAACTGAGGGAACTAAAGTTACCTGTGATGAAACAAATGAAAGCTTCAATCGTCAGGGAAACTACCCAGCTTACTATGATGAAGCGCTATTTAGGAGGTGAGAACTCGAGTAGATCAGCTCTAATCGCTAAGACTTAAAGATAAATGCTACGGAAAAGAGCAAATTTGATATGACTAAAGAGTAATTTAATACCAAGAGAGGACACACATCGACCTTGGGTTTGACCTGCGTTACCAGTTTACAACCAAATCCGTCGTTGTTGGATATTTCGCTCATAGATGGTTCGGAATTTACTAAGGTAGCAGCGGTGCAGTGTTGCCAAACTGACAGAAAATGTTTAGAAACTGCTACATTAATGCTGAGCACGACGAAGTACAGTCCCTTTAACGGTTTCTTGCGATTACGTCACAAGGTCATGAAAAATGAATAAACAGATTGTCTTGACTGTACCAGTGCCCTAGGAAAATTGCAATACAAAAATTTAATACCGACTGTCAAGACTGTAATTGTATCCTCACATTAGTACGTTTTATCAAATCGCACGTCCATGACAAGCAACTTGTCATACTGCATAAATACCAAGCATAAATGTGGAAGACGCATATCTGCTATTATGTGTTTTTTGTGTGACAAGTCTATCACTCGCCTTGTCTAACTGTCTACCCTTTGGCATTCCTTTTGGACGGGAGTATCTTTTCTGAAAACTATATTTAGCATTTTAAGATGTAGGAAATCTTTTTGGTTTTCAAGCATTCGTAAAAATTTCCGATTTTTGAACAAGAGCTTATTTTTGTCATTCCAGAGGTCAGCAGTTCTTCTATTACCACATATCAGGGATGTTTTTTAACAAGTTGTCTGGTCTATTAGTTGTGATGGGTGTCCCATCGATTTTGAAAATCCTCATGGCCACAAATATGTCCAGTTCAGATAAGACAGCGTATAGAAGGTATATGGCCACTATTCTCCACATGTTGCAGTGGTATGACGAAGACTTCAAGCCAGGAACTGAGTAAGTATACCTGATGTCTGACATCTTTATTATTTTTGCCCCCAGATGCTTAGGTGAAGCATTTACTGATCCTTCCGCCCAAGGGGCGTAAAGTCAGGATAGTAACTGATAATCACTGCTATTTATTAGACCTGCAAATTACTAGAATGTGTAAACAGATCTTATATAATGTTAGTAGAGAAGCCGGTTCCGAATATTTTATGGAATTTACCAGAACATTTATATTTATTATATTACAGAAAAAATCCATTGAAATTACTTTCTTAGCCTTATCGATTGTTTCGCTATTTAATATACGAGGTGAGAGCCAACATTTTTTTTTCATGAAACGTGGGTCAAAATTGGGTTGCTTAGACCGAGACATAGACCGACCAATACAGACTAGGACTTATTAGTCTCCAAAATCTTAGTCTGTAGTCAGGATGAAAGTGCATACTGCGAGTGACATTAGAAAAGAAATCTACCTAGCCACGTTTATGCGAGCACGCTGAAAAATTTACGTGAAGCTTTCAACCAGATTTTTCAATCGAGGGGTGCTTGTAAAATGCCGAGGAAAAATGTTTTTACAAGCGTTCCTGCGTCTGCGGACTTCATCGGTCACGCCGGCGTGCCGGTGTTTGTATGTGCGCTGCATGACTGGTGCTCTATCGCATGTGACGCATCATGCCAGATATTTTGAAGAAGCGTCGCCGCGTTGTCAGATAGATGGAACTATGGGTAGAGCAGGGAAATAATGTTTTGGACTACTTGTCTGGACCTGTTTGACGGACTTGATCCATTTGAATTCTTTGTTATAAGAGTTCGCAACTAACTTGTGGGACCATATGACATGCTGCATTTGTTCATCCAACCAATAACAGTCTACCAGAGACAGCTGCCACGTGCTTTTTAGCAACTTATCCGTATGGTCTAGGATTGGTCACATTTTTTGAAAAAATTTGATTTCAATTTCAGGGCATGGAATTCTCTGCTCCAAGTGCGTCGGATGCACAACGCAGCTAGTAAGAAGTGTGCCAAGAAGCTGAACCGGATAACGCAAGCGGAAATGGCTCTAACGCAGTTCGGTTTCTGTGGTTTCGCATTAGTCAGAAGCAAAAAGGTTGGAATCCACAGCGGCACTGAAGAAGACTGGGCTGCCTTTTTACATTTCTGGAGAGTTATCGGGTGGATGTTGGGTATTGAAGACAGGTAACATTTTGACAGATCATTTTATCAATAAACGGATAAATGGATAATACAGTTCATATGTCGGAAACTGTGTCATAAAAGTGTTCAAAATCTACTAAACATAAGAGTTTTTCTCTAATTTGGTGGTTTTTGACCAATTTATAAGCGATGTTAACGAAATTTCGCCAAAATCTGCTACAAGGCTACAAGCAAGAAGCAGGTACTTCAGTTTTTAGATCGAAAATGAAAGCACAAAACATGTGACAGGCCAAGAGTGGTTGAAGGCAACTCTTCACTTGTCAGGCAGCGAATTCTTTTCACCCTTTAGAAGAAAAACTGACTCTAAATTTAATAGCAAGCAATAGTGGAATAATAATTCATATAAACACGAGGGTGAGTGAAATATGAACCGAACTTTTATTTTAGTAATTTTATTGGTACCTATCGTAAATACAAGTTTATTTACATCTTATTTGTCTACATAATCTTATCTTTTATTGATGCATTTTTCCCATCAGATCCGAAGTTTTTTTATTCCCCTATCAAAGAATGAAGCTGGTCGTGTCAGTAGCCAATTGTGCAAACCGTTTCCACACTTTCGTCGTCGTCAAAGTGGGTGACCTCCGAGGTCTTCTCCAAGCGGCCCAGACATGTGATATACACTTGTCGACAAATCGGGAATGCAGTATCTGAATGCTGAATGGCACTTCGAATAGGCTCGCGTTTTTCTCCGATAGGCCACTTTCACTTCTTTAGGCAGTTGGCAGGAGCGGCATCAATTGTACGGAGATCGTGAAGAAAATCAACTAGCAGTATACCTCTGGAATCTCGAAATACCGTTGCAAGAACTTTTCCCGTAGAAAGACTAATCTTGCCTCTTCGCGGTGCTGCTTCTTCAGGTTTTCACCACTCCATGGAAAATTTGTTTGCCAATCGTATACTTGTGTCTTTGAAACTGTCTTTATCGCCGAACTTTGCTGTTAATCGTCGCAAAATTTCGGAAGGACCTACACCCTCCCGCGAAAAATGCTCACCTACTTCCTCTTTTCTCGACATCCCCACCCAACATATACCAAGACGTCACTCCACTCCATTCACCTATGGCGCGTTAAACATAAAAAGTCCGGTTCACATTTGATTCGCTCTCATAATATAGGCGTTAGAGCGCAAAATTACAAAGTAAAGTAACCCGCATACCGAGTCATCATCAGAGCTGAAATTTTACCACTAGTTTGAATAATGATTCTGGGTACTTAACTTGTGAGTCTGCTCTAAAAGCTTGAGACGATTCCAAGGAACATCCCACACTCCAGTTACTAGGGCACCTTGTATCCTTATATTAGATTATACAAGTTTTGTATAACAACATTTTTTACCTAAATGGCCATACAAAGAAGTTAGAGAGTGATCAGTTTGTAGCGGGACACCCTGTACATAGGTGTTGTGTGTGATATTATTCTAACCTACTTTCATTTGACCCGCGATTGAGTATATCAAACATTTAGATGTGTGTTTATGACGAAATTATGTGTTTGTAATTTACCTTTTATGTGTTTTATTTATTTTTAATTATGTATACTTATATTATAAATCGATGTAATACGTGCAAAGCCATACGCTAAATAAAAAAATTTGACCTTCAGGGCTTGGAGTATCACATCCTCGATTTTGTCATTGTATAATATTCACAAACAGGAAACACATGCCATCGCTTTCTGAGCTCAAATGGTACTCCTTTCCGATTTAATAAAGCGTGTCTCAACAAGAACGCCGGATTTGAATTTTTCGCCATTTTTTTTTTGTACAAATGATATGGTGTCATGGAGCAGTATTCAAACGAGCAACGTTCAATTATTCTCACTACGAAAATGGAGAAAATTACGCAGAAACAGTTCACAAATTACGTACAACTTTAGGTCGCAAAAATGCACCGAATGAGTCGACAGTTCGCCGTCTGATTACAAAATTTGAGATAAAATTCCCGTTGCTGAATGTGAAAACCATTCGCCGTCATAGTCGGTCCCTCGAAAAAATAGTCGCTGTGCCAGAAAGTGTGGCCGAGAATCCAGGACCCTCCATTCGGCATCGTGGCCAAGAATTGAACCTTACCAGACCAACTCTGCAACTGATTTTCACAAAAGGTATATGCTTGCATGCGTACAAGGTTCAACTGACACAAGAACACAAGCCAACGGATCATGCGCAGCGACGTAAATTCGTTTATTGGGCGCTGGAGCACCACCAAATTGATGCGGATTTCTCGAAGACTATCATTTTTTCTAATGAAACACATTTTCAACTGAACGAGTACGTCAATAAGAAGAACTGCCGAATTTGGGGTTCTAAAAACCCCCACACATCCTCCTCCCTGAGCGGTCCCTCCACCACCCCTGTTCCAGGCAACCTCAAACCCTTGAGGAGCGGGGGGAAGAGCAATCTGCTCCTCCCTCCTCTCCCGCCCGAAGGCCTGGCGTGGCGCTGCATGGTTCAGGCCGCTGCGCATTCCCTGAGTGTGTGGTGCCGAACGAGCTAACCCCCCCCCAATTTTGCCTCTTTTTCCCGAAATTTGACTCGATCGCGCACGCGTCGCGGAAGCACGTGGTGGACGTTTCTTCCAACTGTCGGTTCTCGACTTTTATGGACGGCCTCTTTCTTGGGGGTCCTGCGCTGGGGGCTTTGACCTAAGCCCCGCTATCCCTCGTGTAATAATCGAACAATCAATACATCAATACATCGGACGCGAGTTACCTTTTGGCGCGCATTGTGGAATGGCGGAGTGATTGGTCCGTATTTCTTTGAAAATGCAGCTGGAATTGCGGTAACTGTTAATGGTGTGCGATATCGCGTAATGTTAACCGAGTTTTTGTGGCCCCAGATGGATCGAATCGATTTGGAGGATATGTACTTCTAACAATATGGTACGACCTGCCACACAGCACGCAAAACAACGGTATTACTGCGGACCAAGTTTCCAGACCGTGTTATCTCTTGGTTTGGCGATCAAAATTGGCCACCAAGATCGTGCGATCTAAAGCCAAATGGCTTTGTCCTCTGGGGCTCTGTGAAGGAAAAGATGTATGCGAACAAGCCGCAAACAGTTGAATGCCTTAAAGAAGAGGTACGGCGTGTTATCGACGAAATATGGCCACAGTTGTGCAAAAAAGTTATCCAGAGTTTTGAGAACAGACTGACCCTGAGCCAGAGGTTTCGTAGTTTCCTGTTCACGTTAAAATATAAATACTCGCTTAATTCGAAAAGAAATTGTGTTTTTCTTGAAAATCAAATCCAGAGCTCTTATTGAGACACCCTTTTTGCCAATGGATCATTTCAAAAATCAAAACAGAAACCACACACAGAAAGAAAAGATGATCATGTTTTTCAGCTTCTGATGTTACAAAGCTTCATTTTGCACTAGGCCATTCATCTAATCATTATACAGGGTGTCTCAGTTTATTGTTGCATAACTTTAGGATTCGATAGAACTTTTAAAATTAATGTATAAAGTCTATATCAACATGGGTCGAAAAATGCGTGGCTTCCGAAATACAGGATGTTTAAATTTACTTTCTAAAATAGTTTTTTTAAATATTTCGAACAATATTTCATGTATAACAGTGAAAATTGGTATACAAGGGTTTTTTGGTACGACAAAACGAACCATGGGCATAGTTTTACTGTAGCCGCTAGAGGGCGCTCTCTACTGTACCTTTAGTGTATTAAAATGACCGAAAAATTTTTCTTAGTGCAATTTCTTGCTTTTTGAATAAAAAAACTGATTCTTCGCACTTTTCAACATGAAAAGCTTTCCTATGAGTTTTCGTTATGATTAGCCGTTTTTGAGATATTTCGAGTTTTAAGGTTCGATGCATTTTCAATTATTTATGGGAAAATAATATTTTTTTTACATTTTCGATTTGGGCATTACAAGTAATTAAGATGATCGTTTAGATTGTGTTTTTAAACACAGCAATAATTCCTAACTCCAAATAAACACAAAAAACAGAATATTAATTTGTTTAATTTTCCAATATTATTTTTAACAAATTAAATTAATTATTTACAACTAAAATGTTATTGGATAGTTAGGACAAACATACAAAATCTAAAGTAGTTGCTCGAAATGTAAACCCAATTGTTCAATACACAATTCACATCTACGAATGATCGAACGTGGTATAGCATTATTCAAATAAGGCCTTATTTCATCGCATGCATTCCTGATTCTGTCTATTAGCATATCTCTTGTGATTACGGGAGTCTGGTACACTTCTTCTTTTAGAAATCCCTACACATTTAGGTCAGGGGATCGTGGAGGCGAGGCGACTGGTCCTCCACGGCCGATCCGTCTTTCTGGATAATTTTCGACCAGCCAGTTTCTAACTATTCTCGAATAATGAGCTGGACAACCATCAAGCTGGAACCAGGCCAATCTTCTTAAGTCTAACATAACATCATCCCACATATTTGCATGTTCAGCCTTTAAAAAATCCAAGAAGGTCGCAGCATTTAACCTTGCAGGCAAAAGGTAGGGTCCAAATAGTCGATTAAGGTAAATACCAATCCACACGTTCACACTAAATTCATGCTGAAAATTTCTTTCCCGAACTGCATGCGGATTTTCAGCGACCAAATATGTTGATTATGAAAATTTACCACTCCACGTCTAGTGAAGCATGACTCGTCGGTCCATAGAACGTTACTTAAAAACTCCCTATTATTATCAGTTCTATCAAGAATCCACTGACAAAATGTGATTCTTCGTTCTCCGTCCCCTGGCTGTAGTCCTTGCACAGGTTGCAAATGGTAAGGTCGTCTATGGTCACTTCTAAGAACACGGTGAACATGGCTTGCTGAAATTCCCAAGGCACCAGAACCTCTCCTAACACTTGTGGTCGGATCTGTATCAAACTCACGCAGAATCATACGGGTAAATCTGCGCTGACGAACATTTATGTTTTATCCCTTTGGAGATTTCCACCATTTTCAATTATTTGGCAATGCACTCGTACAAATACTGAGCGAATTGGATGTCGTCTGTTTGGAAATCTTCGTGCGTATTCTCTGGCTGCTTCTGCTGCGTTTCCATTTACAAAGTCATACACAAAATGAATATCCGCTAACTCTTGATTGCAGAATAAAAATGGCATTTTTATAAAACTTACAGAAAAAAACAGGTAAAAGAAACTAAATTTCGTGCATTCACAATTGCAAAAAAACGTTTCAGGTTTCAACAGACAACAAAACTAACTGTCAACTAATTGACGTTTACCCTTATTCTGCTTTCAATTTCAAAAATATATGCAGACACAGCCTACTTCCAAAAATTATCGAGATACTGACTTTTTAACGTTATTTTATCATAAATAATTAAAAATGCGTCGAAACTTAAAACTCGAAATGTCTCAAAAACAGCTAACTATAACGAAAATTCACAAGAGAGCTATTTTATGTTGTAAAGTGCGATGAATCAGTTTCTTTATACAAAAATCAAAAAATTGCATTATTCAAAAATTTTCGGTCATTTTAATACACTACAGGTACAGTAGAGAGCGCCCTCTAGCGGCTACAGTGAAACTATGCCCATGGTTCGTTTTGTCGTACTAAAAAACCCTTGAATACCAATTTTCACTGTTATAAATCAAATATTGTTCGAAATATTTGAAAAAAACTATTTTAGAAAGTAAATTTAAACACCCTGCATGTTTATATAGACTTTATGCATTAATTTTAAAAGTTCTATCGAAACTTAAAGTTATGCAACCATAAAATGAAATACCCTGTAGAAAACCATCTCCTCACGTATGTTTCAGATTTAACCTATGTCAGGGTTCAGTCCAGAATATACGGAAAATCTGCAATCTCCTTATAGACCGCGTTTACAGGCCGAGCATCGGAAAAAAAGATCCTGATTTCCTGTCCATGACCAGATACATGCTGAACGGAATGTGGTGCATGACCCCCAGCTTGAAATACGAGTCTACCTTAAGCTACGTATGGTTCTTGCTGCAAGATGCAAACTGTTCGTTGGAAGATCTGAAACCTCACTACTTTGAGCTCACTGCCTACCAAAGATTCAAAATGTACCTGACCCACTATGTGATGTGTACTCTGTTTGCGTACAATTGGTTCAGAGTTTTCCATAATTACGTTCATAATGTATCTGTTTGGCTGATGAAGAATTTCCCATTCTTGGCTTATTATGAATTTGGATTTAGGGATTCGAGAGTGGTGTTGAATTTGAAGAAGGTTGAGTAGGTTAGGCGTCATTGATCTACTGGTACCCGGTAATGAGGTTGAAGATATGTAAAGTGTGGTTATTTTTATAAGAACAATAGGTATTAGATGATTGGAGATTGTTAATCATTGTTCGTGGGTAAACAGTATTTTTTAGAAATACATTATTTAAGCCTTGTGTAAATATTCGGGCCCATTCACTCATCACCTATCAATACATTTTAATATTGTATATATACATATTTTGTACACATTAAGTATTAATATATTTTGTACGCATTTTCTTATGTTTTATTTCATTTTTTCTTGTTTTTCATAGCAAGAAAAGGAATTAGCTTTGTGATTTGTCACTTTTTGCTTGGGCTTGGGAAATTTGCTTTGGTCTGCTCGACTTGTCGACTCAATTTCGACATTCACTATACCTCATTCGTAGTCCATTTACGCCCAAACAAAACAACATGCCCAAAAGGGAGATTGTACAGGTCCGTATTTTCCTCAATGGTCTTGGAATAATCTAACAAAATAAATGATTATTTTTATAGATGGAAGTGCACATACTTTTCACAATCCTTGATTCGCTGGAAGTACTTGAATCATCGTCCGAATGGTTAATATTAATTATTACAGGTTCAATTTGAATATCGACCATATTGTTCAGATCGCACAAACTTGTTTCGATTGTGTCTTGAACGTGACGGATACAATCTTTCCGACACTCTGTTACCAGCAAGTACTTAGAGAAATGTGGTGCTTCTACGATTCAATGGCATTGTGCAAGAGGCCATCCTGTAAAAATTATGAGACGATGTCCATACAGGGTGGCGCATCGAAAACGAAACAGACGCATTTACTGGCAGCTCAGTTTTTTTTTCTGGAAAAACGCTCAGACCCGTCGATTTTGTTTTCGAGGGGGACCCAAGTTTGGCAAAAAATCACGTTAACACGTGCAGCCCCCTGAGCGGGGGTGACACCAACCCTAAAATCTTAAACGGAAAGGGGGGCCGAGTTATTTTAAAGGTCTTTCAATTCCCTTTATAACGATGTAATGATCAGTTCAGTAGTTTTGAAGATTTATTGACTCAAAGTTTAAAGTAGACTTTAATAGGTACATCAGATTAGTTAGTACTACTTTCAGAAGAAATTTGACTAAGAGAACTTACTTAATAAGTAAATGCTTTTCTTCACTACGCCCATGGTTTGTTAATCATTTTGTTGTTGAAAATAGCTATTGGAGCGTTTTTTTGTGGAAAAAAGTTATTTCTTGAAGAAAGATAAGGAAATATCTCGTACTTATTTTAAATAGAAATTTAGTACATAGCTTGCGATTGATTTGACCAAACTTTGTCGCTAAAATAACTTGTAATGCTTTATTACATAAATTAACCATGGTATATTCCACAGCAGAAAGAGTTGAAATTATCGAAATCTTTTTTGGAAATAATCAGTGCGCTAATAGAACAGCAGAAATATTTAATGAGCGACATGAGAACAGTAACGTGCTTCGAAAATATGTTCTAGAACTTGTAGCTAAATTTCGGGAAACTGGGTCAGTCGCCAATAAAAAACGCAACATTAAAAATTCCATACGGAACGAAGCAATAGAAGTGGGGGTTTAAGGGCAAGTTTATGTAGTTCCTACGTTACCCTCAAATTGGAGACTATGTGTGGTGTTAGTCGACGTACTGTTCAATGGACTCTAAAGGCCCATAGTTTTCATCCGTATAAAACTCAGCTGGTACAAGAACTTAATGAAGACGATTTTAATCGGCGATTACAATTTTGTGAAGATATGAGTGAACGAATTATACACGATGAACATTTTCTATTCAACACTTGCTTTTCCGACGAATGTTCCTTTTTCATAAATGACCTAGTAAATCGTCAAAACTGCCGATATTGGTCCGATTCTAATCGCAGAATTTATCATGAGGTTCATACACAGCAGCCACAAAAATTAAATATTTGGGCTGGTATTTTTGCGATCATTTAATTGGTCCTTTTTTCTTACCTGAAAATTTGACCGGCGAAATGTATTTGGAATTACTGGAAGACGCCATAGGTCCTGCATTAACAGCCATAATTGAAAATCAGAATGATCGGCGGTACAATGCGAATAGGTTGATATTCCAACAGGACGGTGCCCCACCACATTACGCATTACGTGTTCGACAATATTTAGATCAGATGTTTCCAGATCGACGGATTGGTAGAAGAGGTGCCATTGAATGGCCCCCAAGATCGCCAGATTTATTACCTTTGGATTTCTTTATGTGAGGTCATTTAAAAAGCAAAATCTATGCTACTCAGCCAACATCATTAGAAGACCTGCGACAAAGAATTGTCAATGAGTGCCTTCAAATTACTCCTCAAATACTGCAAAATGTGCGGCAACGTTTTGAGCAAAATCTTTATTATTGCATGGAGAGTCATGGTGGCTATTTTCAACATCCACTTGCCTAACGTGTCAGTTCATTCTTCATTTTTAAGTTACTTTGCTGCCAAATGTATTGATCACCACTAATGATGATGTAGTAGGTTATTTAAGCTTTAAATCAATAAATCTTCAAAACTACTGAACTGAAGTACATTAATTTTATATCATTACAAAGGGAATTGAAAGTCCTTTAAAATAAGGTATCACTCGAACCCCCTTTCCATGTAAGATTTTGGGGGTGGTGTCAACTTGTGTCCCCCTTGTAAACAAAACCGACGGGTCTGAGCGTTAAAAATAAACTGAGCAGCCAGTCTGTTTTGTTTTCGATGTGCCACCCTGTATATTCCATACATAAAGCGCTTAGCCGATTTATAGGTAACACTTTTTCAACATTCAGCTTCTATCGATATGCTAATGGGTTTGTTCCTTTCGGCTTTCTAGATGGATTCATGCGGCTTTTGCTTCTCAATTTTTCAGTTCAGTGCTGCTTGGTATGTCGGTAAGTTCGCCCAAAATCCATCTCAACAATCTCTCTTAATAATTTGAATCTCTAATGAGCTTCGTGATTGCTCAAACACCAGAAAAACGTTGACATCATATTTATATTCTAGGTTCAATCTATGGCAAGGGTCAGCTCAGAAAACTAGAGACGTTTGCAATCTTCTGATAAACCGCGTGTACAGACCATCAGTTCATCAGCTAGATGCCAATTTTGTGAAGATGACTCGACATTTATTGAAAGGTATCGGAAGCCCTGTTGTCCAGTATGAGGCCATGATATCGTATCTGATGTACCTTTTGCAAGACGAAGATGAACCTGCTGAAGAAATGAGGCCGTTCCGTTTGCAAATCACTGTTTATGAAAAGACGAAATACTACTTTACTCATTTTATATTACGTACTATGATGAGCTTCGATTGGTTCAGGGCTACGCTGAATTACGTTCTTTTAGTTACGATTTGGTTTATCAAATACTTTCCGATAATTGCATATGTTCAATATGGGTTCGAGAATGGTAGAGTTGTCTTGAACTTGAAACATCCAAATGACCATTTAAAGATGAATGAAGGTGATGTATTGTTACTGAGTGGTATGGACAATGTATGCTTCAGTTTTATATTCAAGGGGTGAATAGATTTTGATACAGAATATTAGGCTGATGATTTTCTTTATAAATTTCTCACATTATTCTTACCTCCTAAGCTATTGGGCGAGAAAATATTGTAATCGCGAAAAATTTCGAAAATGAGATGTTACGTGTTTCAGGTCTTAGCATCCGTACCACGAAAAACTATATAACTCATTTCAGTTTGTCTGTCTGCTAACCCTTTGCCCGTCTATAACTTGGAGATTGCCGCTCTGACTTTCATGGAATTTCCACACAAAGTTACTACTATGCCAAAGCTTTGCAGCATCAGCTCAGTGGCGGTGGCGCTATAGGTAAAAAACGAAAAAAATAACAGTTGCTAAAACTCGTTTCAGGGGTTCCTAAACATTTCCATAAAAAATTGTAGTGCTTAAACAGTGCAGGTTAGAGCTTCCCCTTCATGATATTGAATGTTGCATCATCTTTGGTATGTCAAATACGTTCTATTATAAAGAAGCCTCTGATCCCAGTAATTACAGGAAATTTAAGTGACGAAAATCCGACAAATAATGTGCTCACGATTTGAAAAAATCGGTATCTGCGTTACAGTTTGACACCGAAAGCCAACAGATCTACAACTGCCGACAGTGGGGAAGAATAAATTCCTCATGTCGTCAACATTGCTCACTCTATGTTTCTAACTCCAGTGGATAACATAGAGTTACAACAAATAGTTTGTAATCTGAAAAATAATAGCGCACCCGGAAAAGATGGCTTACACACTAAAACTATCAAGATGATCATGAAGTATATCAGTCACCCTATAACTCACATTATCAACCTCTGTTTCAGATCCTCAGTAATTCCTCGCCAATTTAAGGAAAGCATAGTGACACCAATATTTAAATCTGGAAGTAAAGACAATATGTTCAATTATAGACCTATTTCAGTTGTCAATGTATTTGGGAAGATTTTTGAGAAGTGTTTGAATAACAGACTTTGTTCTTTTCTTGAGAAATATGACATAATATCGAACTGTCAATTTGGGTTCCGCAAAAATTGCAATACAGAGCAATCTCTACAAGAACATACAGGACAAGTGCTTGAAAATTTTCACGATGGAAATAAGACTGTTGCAGCTTTCCTAGATCTTCAAAAGGCTTTCGATTCAGTATCTCATACAATTTTATTAAAGAAACTAGAAAGTGTTGGAGTGCGTAGTGGAGTTCTGAACTAATTTGAGAACTATTTGGCTGATCGATTACAATAAGTTAAGGTAGGGTCAAATTTAAGCAACATTCAAAAGAACAAAATAGGTGTGCCTCAGGGGACGGTTTTAGGACCAACACTGTTCCTCATATACATAAATGAACTACTTCGATGTAATTTCAACTGTGAAATGATATCATATGCAGACGATACTGTTTTAGTTTGCACTGGTCATTCAAGGGATGACGCAATACGGAATGCCAAGTTGCCATTAAATAAATTCAAATGTTGGTTGGATAACAATTTACTTAAACTTAATATATCTAAAACTAAGTATGTAACGTTTTCTCCAACCAAAGCAGGCATGCCATTACACCACCGAACATTAATTATAAATGATAGTGCTGACACTGTCGAAAGAGTTGCAGTTATTAGATACTTCAGTCATGCCGAACTTTTGGCATCGAAATTAAGGAGAATTATTTATAAGTTTTTCATTCTTAGGCATATTTTAAGCAGAAAGTGTCTTCTCTCAATATATAACTCGTTTGTGGGGTCTCTACTAACTTACGGGATAAGTATTTGGGGAGCCGCATACACTAGTACTTTAAAAATACTACAAACCATGCAAAATTATATTGTCAGGACTATTTTTCGTATCCCATGTAGGTCAAGTTGCAGATTTGTTTACATTGAAAATGATCTTTTGAATGTTAGAGGTTTATATATCTTTGCTGCTCTAAAATTTGTTCACTCCCGAAACAATGTTCCAACCAGTCACGCTTATGAAACAGGAACTAAAATAAATATAAGTTACACCTATACCAGAGTGAATAAATCTGTTTGCCAAAAATGCATAGTTTGATGGTATTAGGTTGTATAATAAATTACCCCTAGAATATAAAATCCTCTCGAAGTATAGTTTCAAAAAAAGAATTAAGAAGTTCATCTTAAATAACTTTGACATGCTTGCATCGACGGTAGCTTGACTCAGCTCAGTAATTTCGTTTCTATCTAATGTTTTTTTTATTTCTTTTTTGTATACCTATACATTTGCTCATAATATACCTTATGACCATTAGCCATGCATTGAATTTGTATATTGTATGACACACACAAGCTTATAGCTTAGGTGTCTATTATTTTGTAGTAAATTCTTTTGTAGTAAAATGTATCTAGCAGAAAAGGTCATATGCCAATTCTGCAGAGACCATGAGAAAATTGCAGTGCATCTCTTGTGTCACTGCGAGGGACTAACAATGTAAGGCTTCTGGTATTATGAATCACAAATCCAAAGCTATGGATCGTAGCAGCCGCTCTTCTCTGGTGCTTAGAGTTTTGCATGCGAGGCTGCTTCGGTATAAAAAAAATGTTTTGGGTAATTCTGCAACCGGCAGCCGTCTTATTTTGCAGTCTTCTGAGTTTATAATGATTATTCCCCATTGGAGTTCTGTTAATAAATGTTTTTTGAATATTTAAGAACGTTGACAGCATTAGAAGTTCTGTTTTTCCTATTGTTTTTCAACGTCTAAAACTATAGCTACAAGTTCAGAACCTTTTTTGTTTTCATTTACCCAAAAAATTTAAACAAAAAACACTTTTTGGAATCTGTTTATTAAAAAATTGTTCAAACAACGATTTATGCAGCTCTGGACCTGGTAATACGCAGGTTCGTTAAAATGGATCCTTTTTGAATGAGATTGTGCAAAAAAACAAATCAGAATATTTTCACAATTTCTAGAAAATGACAAACCTCATCGTACTTTCACAGCAAACAGGAAGCGTTATATTCTTCGGAGGTATTTGCTCCGATATGCAAAGTTTTCTTTGAGTCAGGCGAATCGTATAAATTCTTATCTTATAAAAAATTTATTTCCCTACTGCGTAAAAATATCTTTGATTTCGGCGTCATACAGGGTGTAAACGTTATGATAGTCATTATTGAAATGGGTAATAGGGGGGGGGATCAAAACAAGTCAAAAAGTTCATATGACCCAGTTTACAACTTTAAGTGCTTCCTATCGACCACAATCACCACAACCTTACTAATTTTTATAATCTAATCTAAAACTCTTATCGAACCAGCAGTCGCTCGCAAACGGTAACAATGGTTAGTTATCGTTTTGCATAGATAAATTACTTTATCGTTTTGTCGAGCAGAACATCGGGCGTGTTGTTTTGTTTTTGTTCGCGTACGTCGTCGTGTTTATTTACAATATTCTCGACATATTGTTAGTTTACGGTGAAGCTCGTCAGAATTCAAATCTTGCAGCTCAAATGTATCGCGACAGATTGCGCCAACGGGTACACCCAGACAGAAGGACATTTGGGCAAGTATACCAAAGGCTTCGAGATACAGGAAGTGTTCAGCCCACTAATATTTGCACTCGTGAGCAGGAGGAACAAATTTTGAATATCGTGGAAATCAATGTACATATCAGCACTCGGGAATAAGGCCACCGCGTAGGACTATCTCATACCATAGTTCATAGAATCCTACGGGAAAATTTGCTTTATTCCTACCATGTGAAACGAATGCACACCTTGTCACCAGAGGACTATCCTCGTAGACTAACATTGCAAATCCGGATTTTTTAAAAAAAATTTCAGTGACGGACGAATGTACTTTTACGCGAGACGGGATATTAAACTTCGATAATACACACACGTGGGCCCAAGAAAATCCTCACACCATTCGTGAAGGTCATTTCCAACAACGTTTTAAAATAAATATTTGGGCGGGTGTTCTTGACGATCAGGTAATTGGCCCTTCCGAGTTGCTCCCAAAGTTGTCAGGAGAAGGATACCTTAGCTTTCTAGCCAATAACCTAAAAAACTTTTGAAACAGACCTTACACAACATGCCATTACAACGGAGACAGAATTTGTGGTTTCTTCATGACGGGGCACCACCACACATTTTTAGACGCGTCGTTCAGTATTTGAATGAACGTTATCCAAATCGCTGGATCGGTCGAAATGCTCCTGATCCTCGAAAATGGTCAGCAAAATCTCCTGACCTCAATCCGATGGATTTCTTAAAGGGATGGTTTTTGGGGCTTGTCCAATAACAACTGAAGCACAACAAAAAATGTTTAATGCGGCTGAAATAATAAATGGACAACTTCGAGGACTTAGAGTAAGAAGAAACTGGGTTCGTCGTAATGAAGGTTGTGTGTCAAGATGTCCATCACAAAATCGGGTAGCATCATCAATGTTCTACGAGGATGTCACCACTGAAGAGATCGTGGAAGTAATCAGCAGCCTTCCAAATAAAAGAAGCAGTGGAAATGATGGAATTTCAACGCGTGTGATAAAGTTTGTGAAACGTGAAATATCTTCCCCCTTATCAGTCCTTACTAATAAATCAGTGAAGCAAGATAAATTCCCGAAATGCTTGAAACTAGCTATTGTTATTCCCGTATACAAAAAGGGTGACCGTACAGACCTTGAAAACTACAGACCAATATCACTTTTATCGATGATCTCTAAAGTCATTGAAAAATGTCTGTATAAACGTATATTATGTTTTCTCAATCGCCATAACCTTATCAGATACCCAGCATGGGTTTAGACCCTCACGATCTATAGAAACGGCGACCTTGGACTTTTTTTCCCATATATATATATATATATATATATATATAGAGAAGTAGATGAAAACTGATACGTTGCTGGACTATTTTTTGACCTTTCGAAAGCATTCGATATAATGGATATTTCGTTTATCGTGGAAAAATTGTACTGCTTAGGTATAAGGGATTTTATTCTCAGCTGGATCCAGTCTTTCCTCACAGATAGAAAATTGAAAACGAAGGTCAATGGTCATACGTCAACTCAATATTCCGTGAATATAGGTGCGGCACAAGGCTCAGTACTGGCACCACTGCTCTTCATTGTATACATAAATGACTAGAAATTGTCTGGCTTCATGATTAATTATGCGGATGACACATCTATCGTCGTCAGTGCCAGGACACCGCAGGATCTTCTCGAATCTATTGAGAAAGTCAAAAGTGAAATGAGCGAGTGGTCTAACCGCCTCATTTTGAATGAAGATAAGACTGTTGAAATTCATTTCTTCAACAAGAAACCACGCATGGATATTGATAGCTTTTCAGATCAAACTGTCTTCTAAAAAACTCA